TATACAATAAGATTCATGGTGCCCAAACTCAATACATACTGACATTTATTATTGAGAATGTTAGTTATATATTGACTAATTTGAAAATACAAATACCAATATTGTGGGTAGATTATTTATTGACAACTTGGACATGGAAGATGAGTCTCTGATAAGAAGGAAAGTCTAGCAAAATTTCCAACATGAATTAAAGTAACATAAGTATATTGAACACTTTTATTCACATGTGTGTAATATGATCGTCACATTTAAAGTTATACTAATGGTACCTCTCTATTTGTTATAGGTTCACAATACAACCAATGAAATCACAGATAAGAGATTACTAGATCTTGCTTATGGGTCTAATCATAGTGTGACTACAAGTCAGATATTTGATATAAATGATTATACATTCCATACGAGTTCCTGATGTGAAGAGAAAAAGACATATAGCTATGGTGTCGCTATTAAAGGAAACACACACACAAACAACGAGATTTTCTATTACGGCGTACTTGACACGAAGTCATTCAATTGCAATATCTAGGTAATGTTATCTACATTGTTTACTTCTTCTTTCTTTTCTAAAATGGAAGATTTACATGCAAATCCCATAATTCTCATGCATTTACATATTTAATACCAAAAATTTTATATTTATATTTCATTTATATTTGAAAAGGTGTATTTCACTTTCTTCAATTAATAATAGAAATAATTTTGATGTAATATGACACATTTATGAGTTATAAATATAAAAACTATACTTCAAATATTAGGTATGCAAGTAAAACATGAGATCATGTGATATATATGTCGTATTCATTTTTCAATAGCATATTAAGTCATGCCTTTTAATATCTATCTGTGTGTGGAGAACATATTACGTCTGATTAACCGAACGTGTCAAGTCATGGCTTTTAATATCTATCTGTGTGTGGAGAACATATTACGTCCGGTTAACCGAACGTGTTAAGCCATAGCTCTTAATATGCATGTGTGTTGATAAAATATTACTTCCGATTAATCAGATGTGTAGACGAAGATATGAATTATCCAGATGCGATGCATTACACATCGTTATTCACGTTTTGTTGTCCGGACGTAATATTTTGTAATGTACGTACCGATCTATCGTACGAGAGTTAAGATCTCTATCCTACTCTACAATGCATGCCCCACTGATGTGACATAAAGCTGTCCCTCTCCAAAGTGCTCTATCACAGGAGTTATTTTTCCGTGACTATAGTTGTCGGCCCTCACATGTTCCCTCTAATTGAGCTTTGGCGATCTGAAAATCTTATTAGAAAGAATATAATTTCATATTCATAAAATTATATGAATTAATTAACAGCATTTATCTATTACATAAAAAGAAAATTACTATTTTAACCTTGTAAGATGGTGGGAATAAAAAGCACTTGTGTTGGCTTACTATTTTCATTATAATTAATTTTTATAGCTAATATTCTGCTGGAGTTATCAGATATTACTTTTAAATCAAATGCCAGCCAAAAATCTCAATTAAATGTTTAATCTCAATTAAATGTTTAATATTACTTTTCATTTTTGTACTTGTATTTTATGTTTATGTTGGAAATTCACAGGACAATGATTTAGAGATACACGAACGAAAACATACGTAGCGTCATAATGCTGGCGGAGTAGCGCCATGGCGCCAAATGCCCTAAACTCAAGGTAGAAAGCTAAAGGTTGGCGCCACAAAACTAATTCTTAGTGTTCCGGCGCTATCGTCTCAAGTGTTGCAGTGCGACATTTTCAACACCGTGGTGCCACCTCATGAGGGGGTAAATTGAGAGCTACGCATCGCAACACTACATCCTTAGCGCCGCAATGTTATATCGTGGTATCGTGGTACCACGACCCAATATGATACTTATAACTCAGGTGGAGAGCGGAACCGAACGAGTGAGTGACCATGAATGGGCGATTTGAAGTATGTTTGCATGCTATAATGTATAAGAGAGTGTGCAATGAGAGAGTGGAAAAGCAATTTCAAAGGCATGATCCATGTGCATCATTAAAACTACATGTTAACTCTCTATTTGTTTTTCTATTTTGTGAATTTTGATATAAACATATTTTGTAATTAAGTCTTAACTTTTTGGATTAGTGATAATTGTGAGTAATTATAATTTTACATGTTCTGTTTGAAATGAAACTGAAATTTTAAATTATTTTATTCATTTAAATACAATTTGGCCAATTTTATGTTAAAACTTACTGTGATCTAGAGCTTCCAATGAAAAACTAGTAGAATAGTGAGGTTAGCATACATTCAATTTCTCTTAAAACAGAAAAATTAGGTTATCCATGAGATTTTTTATGAAAGGCTATCTAATTGTGATATGAAACATCAATGCTTCTTAAATCTCATTGAAGATTAAGAAATAGATTTATGCTTGATTGATAATTGATGAACCATCAACAAATTTCATCATCTGACACAAATCTCATGGCATGACAAGGGTCTCGAGGTAATCTTTTGAGCAATAAATATTCAAACATTGATAAAAAGTCATCTAAATCTCATATTTTAGCAAACTTATAATCAAAATGATCGGCTCGACGAGGCAAATCCAATGGTGCCAAAATCAGTCCAATCCGAGCTAAATCAAGTTCAGTTCAAGTCATTCAACCACTTTTAGAAGCTTTCTGAGCATATTAGAAGGTCAAATGAATGTCGAATATGGCAACTTTACAGTCGAATTGAGCGTCTTGACAAGTTGATTCCAACGAGCCCAAGATCGTTCAATTCTGACATCGTTAAAGCATTTAAATGTCCATCAAACTTCGTCTGATCAAAGGAAACTCTTCAGATCGTCTGCTCAAAGTGGTTCATGTTTTGCATTAATTGCATCTGGAACTCCATAAATAGAGCCCTACCCCTCTCTTGAAAAGGGAGAGAGAGCATGAGGCTTGAGTAAGAGCTTGAAGCTTTTAGAATGAGCTGAAGTCAAGTATCGCTCATGTCGTCGTCGACCACCACCAACAATCATCGACCACAACCGACCACCGTCGACCACTACTTGTTGATCGCCACTGATCGCTGTCAATCGCCACTCATTCCTTATGACAAGTTTATCCGCACGTCGACGTTGTAACTTGGGAGACCTGTAACCCTTTCTTGCCTATGGGACAAGTGGTTGCAATTATAATCATCATTTTATCGTGGAACTCTTCAGCTGGATCAGACCTTATGGTTTTTCCCTTTATAGGTTTTCCACGTAAAAACTTAAAGTGTTTCTACTAGTTAATTTTTTTCTTTAGAGTGGGTGTTGAATTCTCATGCAACACTAAAACTATTTTCGTTCTTTTTAGTTAAGCTTTTAGAGTTGTCAGCTTGTCTTATCACCGTTGTATAATTCTCTTTCCAAATAAGAATCTCTTTAGAGAGGAACCAGAGAGAGAAAATACACCAAAATAGACAACCAATTAAAAATAATGCGGAGAACTTTCATAAGGTAGACTTTGCGTGATAGCCAAGAGCGTGCGTCCGAAATGAGATCGAAACAAAGATGCCTTGGAAGCATATTTGCATAGAAAACTCGACAAAAGCAACCCAAAACCAGAGTTTCACTTTTTGTGCTTATTTTGGGTTCACATTCCTTTGGTTACATGCATCTTTAGGAATGTTCAAGAATACTCTCAATAAAAAAGGTAGATATCTGATTATTTTTTAGGAAACCAAAGGACTTTAAGAATCTCGAGTGGGAGAATCCCGATGCTTTCGACACCTGCACTGGGTCATAGGGCAGCGGGTGAATCATTGTATCCACTATGGGTAGCGACGTTGAGGCATGCAAGTCTCACGAGATAATATCAACGATTTTCAAATGAATCAACAGGGCTCAAATGAGATGTAAACAAGAAAAGGGAGGAATCCCTAAGAAAATAGAGATAATCGGGTTGGGATATCATGGATCCGTCATCCTAAGCTATGGAGACTCTAAATCTAGCTGGTTATGAAGATAGTCGACCCAACCTGACTAGAGATCTCTTGTTAGCAATCCATGAATTATGTCATCTAAGGAGACCTCAGTAGCCCTAATGTCAAAAGAAGGAAACTCTAGTTCCTATGACTCTCTAAGAGATAGATTTTGTAGAAAGTGGGACTTGTACCCATCAATTAAATGATGGAGATGTCGCTGGAGTGCCTACAGAAAAGGGGTCCAACTACAAAGCTAGAACCACCCACAAAGGACTTACGCCCCCGTCTAGGTTGAGGAAGCCGACAATCTTCTAGATAGAAATCATATGCTTGACTTAGTTGATTGAAGGAGCACGAGGCTCCTCCTCGAGATATGCAATATGATGCATTAATTTGCAATTAAATTTAAATTTGAAGGCTCTATTAAGGATGATTTGGGTGATAGTCATACAATGCAGCACGTTTTAAATCCGCCCGAAGGTCATGCACGAAAGTAAGAGCAGTAAGAAAATGCTCATTTTAAAGTTGGGATTTTTTATTCCTAACTTTTAATTTATCTTGAATATTTTATTTTTAAAATTTTTAATTATGAAAACTCTTGCTTATCTAGCACTACCCTAGTCGCTAGTGTAATAACCCTTACACATATATTCGGGTCTTACTAAGCGTCACTTTCAGGGGAAGCTCTAGCATTTACACAAGGATTTAGACGATTAATGTCATGATTTTTTGACAAATTTTACGTTAATTGTCGACTAAATAACACAACCATCAGAATAGATCCATTTTAACATTTTTCTACTGCTACAAATAAATAGCAATACTAAATCAGCTATGGGTGATTACCTACTTTCCATCATTTAATTAGATAAATTTACAAATCAAAATTAATCTTCAACTCTCTCAATATCTCTAAAATCCAATCAAAAAATTCATTCACACTCGGCAAAAATAAATAAAAAGAATTCACTATTTTATATCATTCTCCCAAAGCAAAATATGAAGCAGAGGACACAAAATCATGACAACCATTCTCTTATACTGTAGGCTAGAGAGGACACTAACCAAAATCATGACAACCATTCTCTTATACTGTAGGCTTCACCAAAGCTTTGAAATTCAAAGTTACAAGTCTTAATTTTGAGCTAAATGTACCCAAGTAATTATACACCAAAAAATGAGACCCTCTCATCTTCAGCATTGGCTTCCAAAGCCTGACTGACAAGCAGCTCATTCAAATGGACACCAGATCCATTCAAATGCCACATTCAACAGAAAGATTGGATCTGATCTCATCTGATCTCAAAAATTCCAAGAGAAGAAGAATGATGAATTTGGCACAAGTAAACAATTTTTATTCACATGAGAGAGGACTATAAGCTGCAGTTGAAGAGAAAGAGGAAGAGAAACTGCTAAAGCTTGGATGCCACTATACCTTCATCTTCACATGTACTATCAAAATTCCCCATCCCATTTCATTTCTTTCTCTCCCTCCAATTCCCTCCCCATACCTTGGCTTCTGCAATGGCGCGCTCTCGATCAGGATCTCGATCGAGAGCCTTAGGAGTTTTTCCCGAATGGCCTAGGCTGTAACTAGCTGAGTCCTGCCTCTCAAGTTCCTCTAAGCCCAACTTCCTTCCTGAATCACTCTGTGGTAAATCTGTAGAGTGCTTAGTTTCCAAACCAACGATGAGGTTTTTGGCTTCTTCTCTGCCCCTTGGGGAAGAAAGACATGTCCTACTGGTTTGGGGTAGTGTTGCATTTGGATCACAAGTTTGTGAAGCTAAGTATGAGAGAGCAGTGACGACATCACCTATTAAAGGTCGAGTTGCTGCTTGTTCCTGCAAACACATGGCAGCAACCGCGAGAGCTTGGTAGAGGCCCCTCATGGGATAACAGCCCTGCAGTAAAGGATCCGCCATCTTCGGAAACTTCCGACGATCTTTGAATAACGGACGAGCCTGCATTAGATTCAATGGTTTACTCGCATGCTATTTAAGTACCTATCACAGAATTCTAGTATATCTACACATCTCGCACCTAGATTATCATATTTACACATAGAGCACTCAAAATCTTTAATGTCATAT